GCGAAAACAACAAAATAAACACGAGACACTTTGTTGATATGACCTGCTACGTCACAATCGGGATAGGCAACCGACGATGCGGATTCGGCGTTTTTGGCGGAAAATGTCTGATTTGAATTTAAATTCACTTTAAAATTATTATGGAGACTTGTCTTGCAAAAAAATTATATCAGTGTAATGTTTGCCATAACTACTTTCTATATATCAACATTAAAAAAAGTGAAAACACCCTATTTGGACATATTATGTTCAATAAATATGGGCAATAGTTAGTAAGCCGGGCATACATTATGGCCTATTTTCTACCAGGGCTGTTTCGCTTTGCAAACTGTGTGCAAATTTGCTTCTGAAAACAGAGATCAGCGACTCGATTTAAAGAGCCGTTCGACGTTTAAGTTTGCACACTCTCTTCTTTTTGCACTCTTCAATCCGCTCAAGTGAGAGCAGATGGACATTTAAGATATTTGTCAAAAATTGGCATTGAAAAACACGGGAGTGGTTGCATTTGGGGATCAACGAGCAGATTCTTCAAATGTGAAGAATTTGCAGATCTAACGCCATTTTCTTTCTTGTTTGAGGGGATAGAGGCTCTCTTCACTTTGCACTCTGCACTTTTTCAAGTCTGTTAAGTGAAAGTTTGTGCAAGTTTGCATTCCAAAACATTTAAAATCTACTTGGAATGTGACCAGAGACTCGTGTGAAAGAGTATTGCAACTTTGAAGGTTCGCAGACTTTTCGCCTCTTGCATTATTCAATCCTCTCAAAGAGAGCCGATGGACGCTAGAGCTTTTCGAGGAAAAAAATGCAATGATCATCATCATCACAATCATAGACTTTTTCCTTCGGGCTAAACGCCTTCAAATACCTCCTGCAGGAATTACAGATTTCGTCACAGTTAGAAAGTTTTGATTTTTGTCACTTGAATCTGTTTCAACTGTGCCACTCTGTACAGAAGCCGGTTCTGAAATTTCATGTGAAGCTGCAAAAGTGCTTAATAGTGCAACCCTGCACACTAAACGTGAAAACGCTTATGAATCCGCTTTGCATCTGAACCATCAGATCTGCTGATTCCTCCCACACGAAGCTGCAAGAACAATGCTTCCTTTATTGGTCAATCTGCTGATTGCATGTGCATCGGCTTCGTATTACGCCGTAAGTTCCTATGGAGCTTTATGAAAGCTTCGGGCCCTTATCTTATCCTCCTGAGGTAGCTGGCTACCATACATCTAGCGCCGATTTCGTGTAGTTAACTAATTCAAAAGCGCTTAGTCGCCTATTAATTGCTTTCTGACTTAGTTATGGTACATAAAAGGGCATAAACATGTGATTAGTATGTATTTTGCGTGCCAAGCCGCGATCTCTGCTGAAAACTTTCGATTAATTACGCCGCCGGCCATAAAATACCCCCACACTATCATTATCTTCGTCCTGGCATCATGTTTATGGTGCTAAACTCTGAAAGGACCATAAAGAAGTCGGATGCATTAACCCAAAGCAGAAATTTGCTTTTGATTTATCGATGGCTCAACTTTTAATATCATGTTCATTAACAATAGGCTGGGGCGCTGTTGCAGCGTTGGCACAATTCTTCAAAGGCACGAAAACCAACGGCATTTCCCTCACCCGCAATCGGTTTATATTTGGAATGTCTTTAGGAGAAACTAAGCATTTTGAAACGCTGCAGGATCGAACCAGGCCCAATAATTCACTAGAAAACACAGATTTAGCAGGAGCAGGCAGGCGGAACCGCGGTTCTGCACTACAACAGTTCAAAGCGGCAGATAAATCAGCCACTTTTCTGTTTCCGATCTGATTAGAGCGTTTACGTGAGCCGCCACTGGCTTCACCATAAACTGTACCCACTTTCTGTTCGTTTTTTTGAAGACGAATAGGGTGTTTCACTTTTTTTAAGTCTATTTAAGATATATAGTTGAAAGTAGTTATGGTGAACATCACACTGATACAATTTTTTTGGCAAAAAAGTCTCCATAATAATTTTACAGCGAATTTAAATTCAAAACAGATATTTTTCGCCAACAACGCCGCATCCGTATTGCCGGTTGCCTATCCCGATTGTGACGTAGCAGGTCATATCAACAAAGTGTCTCGTGTTTATTTTGTTGTTTTCGCAGCTTTGTTTTATTATTTCATTCTGAAAAGCTGTATTTTTCTGCAATAAAATCGACTCAGAAACATTTAAAACCAATTAAATTCCTGTTGATTCTTCCGAAGTTGACAAATTTAAGCTTAAGTAAAACACCATCTTTGCAGATACTTTTTCTAAAATATGCCACACGATAAATAGTTGAAACAGCTCCAAGGTTCAGTGGAAAGTTCGCACCTTGAATAGAGCCGATCAATTCGAGCTTCAAGACAATCAACTGCGTTCCAAAACCCGATTAAACAGCTCTTTGCAGTTTTGGTGTCATTTAGTGAGGTCAACTTCAGCTACATCTAGTTTCGCAAATACCTTTCTGTAGGAAAAAAGAATCTTCAAGTAGAACAGCCAGAAACTTTTTTGCAAATTCAGCTTAAAAAGATGCACTAAACCGATTCAACCAACCGTCCCAACTTCAAAGCTCTATCAAGCACATTTTTACTCAATTTAATGCTTTAAATCCAGCACATTTTAGCTTAAAATGATTTGCTCGTGGCAGCATCCGYCGCTGAAGATGCAAATCAYTCGTGCTTGCAAAACGTCAGAAAGAAATTATTTTCCTCCMCKRACTCCAAAAACGCAAAAGTGTCTAGCAACGCTTGTCCRCATTTCAAAAATGTTTTGGAATTTCTAACTCGAATAAAAKAACCAATGGAAAATCAAATAAGAGAATCACATATACGTGAAAGAAAAAGAAAGMGCCGAAAGCATTATCTCACCTCTTAAACGCTAGATAATTGAAAACGCGATAAGCTTCGCATCACTGCACCACTCTCATCAGGTAGACAGTTAATAAATAACCTGGAAACCAATAAAAAATCCAAAAATAAACGCTTAACGATGATCCATTAATCTTCCCTAATCCGCTAATGCCATTTTAGGGATTGTCAAATACAAATCGATGTCCTACTAGATAACATTATTGAAATACAACTTCACTTATCATCGTTGAATTGGCGACTTATCGCTGTTCAAATAATGTTGTTGTATGACGGGCGTTTGTTTCATTGCTTGATTGAATTTGTTCATCGAACGGTTACCGGTGGCGCATGAGGTTGTTGCTACTGATTATCCACGTGCCCGTCCAGCGCCGTCCAATCACCAGCCAGCAACATGCTGGTTGCCATGAATACATTGTCAATAAACAGTGTGGTCGGGGACGGTTTGGTCCACCGG